GAATAGTTTGGGGGGGGGGGGGGGGGGGCAGGGGTGTGCCGGTAGGGTTGTGGTGTGGGGTGCGTGTGAAGGTGAGGGAGTCGGAGGGAGTCGGGGGTGAAATGAATGCGTAAATGTTGGGTTGAGTGTTAGGTGCCGGTACTGCTGTGGGTATGTGTGGCAGCCTGAGGAGTCATGGCAGCACCAGGAAACGATGCTGTCACCCCTACCACGCCACCAACAACACACCTGCGGGTCGACCTTCTCGATCATCCCGGTTTTGATGAGCGTCCCGTCGGCCTCCTGGCGGTAGGTGATGATGTTCCCCGCCTTATCCGCCTCCCGTACGTGGGTCACCATGGCGTGGTAGAACAGACCCTCCGGGCCGGTGTCGTACCTAACGCCGTCCGTCACCACGAAGTCTAGAACCTGCCTCATCCCAAGGAGATAGACAGCGAGATAGACAGATAGCGAGGTGGGGCACAAAGAGTGTAAGGCATTAATAGCAGCACTACGCGTCGATAGCAAGCGGTCGCGGCGGTGCGGGTGGTAGCCGGGCGGCGCATGACAGGGCCGGTAATTTGCTGAATCCGTTACCCTTCGCTATTCCTCTCTCTTCACACACAACAACCGCATGGTAGTCCGCTGAGGTACTCGAGAGAAGTGAGATTACTGCTGTGAAGGCCAACAGCGTTGTACCAACAGTGTTGCACTTGGGGCAAGTCGTTAATGAGCCAAGCTCTTTTCCAGAGCCCAACCCGAAACAGCAGGAATGCATACACATTCTCGCCGACGCATTGGAGAAAAGCGTGCGATTCGGGAGACGCCATCTACTACCACAGGACGTAATATATGGTGTATGCATTGCACAAGGCTGCTGTTCGATGTGAGGTTACACACCGGTGTTGGGGATGAAATGGATGAGCACGGCACACCCAGGAAGCGCGCGAACAGACTACACCGAATCTCCCTTACTTGCATCCGCCGACCAAACAAATCACGAGGTTGGGTCTAACGGATACCTGCACCTCGCCGAAGTCACGAAGTACAACAACTCGTCACGAGTCGTCACGCGCAGAGCGCCAGTGCCTGTGTATGTAAGCAAGGACCCTTCTATGTCAACAGTCCTCCAAAAGCTTGACTTAGACTCCTCCAAAAACTTTACTTACTCTAGCAAAGTTGGGCACGTTGATGCTGATTCGGAAGTTCCCCTCGTCCCCCGCCGGCATCATGGGCATCGTCACCCCGTCCTCCTCGCCGTCCCAGCCGTTGAAGCCGCCGCAGTAGAGAAGGGAGTCCGCACCCTCGAACAGCCCGGTGGGGGGGGTGTAGATGATCTCCACGGTCTCCTCCGCGGCAAGCTCGTCGTTCTCTGGCAGGAAGGTGACGCTACCGTGGGTGGCTGCTTGTTCGGAGGTTGTTGTCGTCGTCGATGCTGGTATGGACAGGATGAGCACGGAGCGCGGGCGGTGCAGGGGTTGGCGAGCAAACGCGAATGGAAGAAGAGAACGGGAGAGGAGGCATCCACAACTCGTGTGCCACAGCATTAGGAAACATAACAATCTGCTGTTTCGAGGGGAAGCCAGATATCGATTTTACCGCCAATGGGGCCGTTCGTCACGTTTTCATCATCGCCGCGCCAGAGACCACGCGCGAGCATGAAGAACGACGAGGAGGTCTTTAGTATGATTATGATTCCGTGCTTCACTCCCCGAGAGCGGAGTTGTGTGTGCCATTTTTCTTAGTTGTTAAGAGAAACGCTGCGCGAAGGTAGCTTGAAACAACGCCGACTTCGGAGTATGTAGAGGTGCCGCAAGGCTACTGTATCACGAGACGACCTTCGAGCGTTCACCGTGGTCCCGCAGAATAATAGATCATGTAGCCCGTACGCGCTTGGCTGCGGGCTGTTTAGACACCCCGGTAGAGAAGGGCCTAACTATTATACATAGGTTGCACCATTTTGGATCGCCATTACGAGGATCAAGTTCGACACGCAAGGTAAACAGGAACCATTCAGCAACGGTGGCGTATCCTGCGATACCAGCACACTCGCCACACTACCTCTAACTTTGTCCCAAACATGCCAACTAGAGAAGGTTGAGGTGTACGGACGTGCAACCTGCTCTTATACTGACTGTATACTGCTGTACGACGTTTCCTTCGCTCTCACGCGGCAGGCAGGCGGGATGAATGTGCGAACCTCTTAAACTGTTGCGCATGCATACGAGCACTGGGCCGAAGTTGGCATATCCATATGCGTAGCTTCCCTGTGTTCCAAAACGTGGAACGATCTTCTGCTGTGGTTGTCAAGGCAGCAGGACTGCTGTGTGAAGATCATTTCGAGCATTTACTGCTGTTTAGGACAAATCCCGGCCCAAGACGAACAAAGACACAAAGACCGGCATCTCGCGTTGAACGCGAACGGATCAGGAAGGAGCAGCTACATCCCGGGCAGCAGTTACATCCCGGATCGTAGCTGTCGGACTGGACAGAGTCAAGATCGTAAGGTGGGAGCGCACAAACGGTGGAAACGTGGGGTGATCCTTCGGTGACCGAAAAAAAAGAAAGAAAAAAAACTGGCTCTTCGTGTGACAGGGCACTGAGTGTGTGTCCTTCTGTGCGCGCATTTCTGTTGTCAATTCTCAGGCACTACTACATACCCGTTCCAGCTGGCAACCGGCATTCATCCCGCCCATCCTCAGCATATACAGCACTGCCGTGGGATGTCGTGTAGCATACCTGCCGCATCACTTCCCAAATTGAAGGCGAATCAAGGTATGCACATCTCCCACACGCGGTACATATCGTAGATAGCACACCCATCAGCCAACGAACGGCACGGCAACTTCGAAGTGGAGCCATACGCTGCACCTGATTGCACGGATGTCAAGCCCCTGTTTCGTGCCGCTGCCTGCGTTGCCGAGCTAGAAAATCTCAGCGATGATGCTCGACCCCACGAGGACGACTCGCATGTTGATTGCCTTGCTGATGAGCTTACCCTACCGCCAGATGACGGCAGGCGACCCGCTGTGAAGAACGCGTCCGCAGACAACGAGCATACCGCTAGGGCCGATACCACGGCGGTGACGCTAGCCGCGCTCGAGTTCGGCATCCTACACAGGAGAGAAGGAACGGTCAACCTGGTGACCTGACAGCTGGCAGCTGGCCGACTGCCGATGATCGGCTCCATGCTCATATTTCATACCCCCCATTGAGTACAGTTCTCGATTGCGTACCCCCTTCGGTGGTGCCACGGCGTAACTTACTGCTGTGGTACCCTAGTCATGTCCCTGATGTTCTCCCTGATGTTGGCTCGTGTCCACAACACACGAAAACATGATCGCACGACCAAACGTTTGAAAGGCGTCTACCGCCGTTACCCATCACAACGGTTTGTGTCTAATTTTTGTTGTTTGGTATGGCATCCTAAAGCCACTTCGAAGTGATATTGTACTGCTTTGAAGTGTCTTGGAGGCGATTCCTTCACGGAAAAAATCCGCTGTTGGCCCAGCAAGGGAGTCTATTGTAGCCATGCTGTACGTTGTCCAGCGAAAGTCACGCTAGAAGTTTTCCGGGCGGTGTCGATAGAAATCGGTACTACAACGACGTCGCACCACTACGTCCCTTGTCAGAGAAGAGTTCAAGTCTCCCCTGACCACTGCTGTTAGACTTTTTTCTCAAGAAACGGTACACGTAGTCTATAGATAGGTAGATGGGGCTGCTCGCTGACCTCGCGAGGCAAGTGTTATCTTTGAGGTTTGCCCACTTGCCATCAGGGCACAGAGCGAGTAGCTTCTCAGGACGAGCCCATCTGCGTGCAATGTGGGAGCATCAGCCAGACTTTCACAGCAGACACTTTTGGCACACGCAAGCACAGAATACCGTGTGGATGTGTTCCTGCTCCTCCTTCCCCGCGAAAGGTTTGTAGCCACCCCTTCGGCATCAACCACGAAACACGTGGTGAGGAGTCAGATCACACACGCGCACTTTACAGCGCATGTTTCATCCCGACGACAGAGCGGATGGCGGCCAGACTCAAGCAATACTGAACGCTGCATGCTGCAGGCAGTTCCCATCGACACGTGAAAGCATCGCATACAGGATTCACGAACGGACCGCGCACGTCGAAAAAGAAAAAGAGGGAACGGGAAAAAAGCACGTCCCGCCGAACCTCCGACGTCTATGATTTTTTTATTTCCATTTGAGGCACACACGGCGTAAGGCAAACTCTCGAGAGCTAGCCTACCGGCCGGACACCGTCACAAGTTGGCATCGCCCAATTCTGCACCTTGGTCGGCTACGACCCGTTCCACCACAAGGAACCGCAGGTTCGCTAGCGACAGGTACAGCAACCGAGGATCAACAAGGCGGAGTCACGCTCCTTCGAAGAAAAGCAGTACGAAGTGAAGATCGGCCAGACCAAGAAAATATCTAGGCCTTCTTCTTCTTCTGCTTCTCAAGAAGCACCTTCTTCACGATCTTTTGCTCCTCGATCAAGAAAGCGCGCACGACCCTGACGAGAGGAAAACAATTGCACCAGAGCACCACACGAAACAGGGCAGCAAACAGCAGCGCAAAGGCCAGAGGTTGTGAGGTAGTAGACGCCAAACGTCGGTCGGTGGACAAGCAATCACAGAAAATGTAACAAGCACGCTCCTCTCGTCAGTAAATTAAGAGAAAACAAAATCACCGAGAGCTGATGGCTTGCCCCGTACACAACCTTCGCTCAAACACGGACACAGGAGTTGGGGACAATGTTGTGAGTCAAGAAGTAACAAGGTGGGCACTTGCTTGCCCCGTACACAACCTTCGCTCAAACACGGACACAGGAGTTGGGGACAATGTTGTGAGTCAAGAAGTAACAAGGTGGGCACTTCTTCCACGAGAAAGTTGCACGTTCTACAGCAGCGGAAACCTTTGAACGGACTTATCTTCCTAGAACAACAGCGTTGAACCACAGCGTTCGGCGATGAACACTGCTCCGTCGCAACCGTACCACTCATACAACAATGAGAGAACTGCCGCGTGACCCTTGGGTAGGTAAACACATCGGAACTGCGTACCCTGCTACTGGAATGCTGTCATCAGCCGCAGACAAGAAAAAATAAACGCACCATCTTATACGCCCCCAACCATTTGCAGAGAACCAAGGCCCACACGCGTCTCACGATCGCCACTTCGGCACCGAAACCCTTCTTGTATCGACATACACAAACTTAAAACTGATTCTCCACATTGGTAAGCCGGTTAGCGCCGTGGACGTAACAAAGACACAAACATACACAACACACAGAGTGGTTTTGCTTCCAACAAAGAAGCTTCGTCACTCACCGCTGCCGCACGCAGGGCGCGCAAAGCGACCCTCCGTACGCGCGAGACACGGTCTTTTGGCGCTTCTTAAGGTTCTTGTACTCCTTAGGGCGCATGTGCTTTATCTGCGGCGAGCAGAGGGCGAGAAACACAAGGGTCAGAGGAAGAGCAAGCAGGGAGGCAAGACCATGGGGGTTGTCAGAGGACATGACATCCCAGCATCAACCTGCACCGCCCGAGACGCCCTTGCTCGCCTGCGCGACAATTCGCAACGACACAGCTGTGCGGGGTTGGTACTACTACACACCGACGCAACGAATTGAGGCGTTAGGTCAAAGACGGGGAGGGGAGACGCAGAGGACCCACAGCCACAACTTTTCCGAGCCAGATGGGAGGATGGGGTATCCATGTGCCGACAACAAAGGGTACTTGTTTGAGCCGCTAACAGAGCAGATTTCGTTCACGGCCGCACAATGGGAGCACATGCGCAAAAAAAAAACTCGCAGCAACAACAAGGGCGTTGCATCCTCGCATCGCATTGCAGGAGCGTCAAGAACAACGCCATTTCGGAGAATATGACGGGGCAGAAGGTTGCCTGTCCCCCCGACACACCCAAACGCAGCCGTTCAGCTCTCGCTTGTAGTACATCCGGGACTCGGAAACCGTCTTCCCCGTACACGAAAACTTCCACGAAACGTGTTCCCTGTTGACGTTTCTAAAACGGTGGTGAACTGCACCGCAACTCCTCGCCAGTGGTGGCCAATAACAAAATCAACGTCCGCAACAGCAGCCCATTTTTCTGCCACTACAGCGTCCCGTTGATGAGACCCTTATCCTCGCGAAAGCTAGCCGCCTCTGGTTTCCTGTTCTCCGTCTCGAATGCTGCAATGAATATGTACACCTTCCACCGGCACGGATGCCACTGACACACCGACAAAACACGCGGCAGTGTCAACCCGAGGCAGCGTGACCGCCGAAAACAACTCACCCCCGGGAGAGCGACGCTGCAGCTGGCGTCGGCACAGTGGACGCCCTTGGCGGACTTCTTGAGGTAGTGGGCCACAAGCTTGCCCCCGGGCGTCTTCACGGCCTTGGCCTTGTTGGACTTGGTGTGGTAGGCATGGCGCCTGGTGTAGGTTATGCGCCCGTCCCCGCGAACCATCTTCTAACCGCAGTGTGTGGAGTTGACATCGGTTGATTCGTTCATCCGGCGTGAGAAAAAAGCATGTCCCCGCCAGCCGAAAACAAAGCCGACGCCAAAAGAGAGGGAGACGGAGCGAGGCAGAGAGAAGCGGCGAGACAAAACGGGTCGCGTGAGCTGCGACTTGCACGGGAAAGCTGACGAGCAGTAAGATGCAGTGTGTGCGCAGCGGGGTCAGTGTGTAAACGTCGAGATTTGAGGGTGTTGGCGGCATCTTGTGAGGGCTGTCGTCGAACGGCATTGCTTTCGTGCCGCATACGCATCCGGCGCAACAAAGCAGGGTGTATGCATCGCGTGGGCAGACTTGTCCAACTCTGGCCTGAATCTACGCGGTTGGTGCTCTCGACAAAGTAGCCTACACAGAGAACGGCTACCTGCCGAAACAGAGCGTTTACAAAAGCACTTCCGTACGGCTACAGCAGTTACGCTTGAATAGCGAGTGAGCGTCGCGGCTGTGAGGGGAATATCCTCTACTAGTCTAAAAGGGGACATCGCGTGCACCCGAAACGGTCTTGTATCCTTTGCTATGAACCAACGATCAATCATGGCGGGGAGCGCGCGCGAGCGGGCGAGGTGGAATAGCCACAAAAGTAGCAACAGCAGCAAATGGTCTTACTGTCAGCAGCAGTGTAAACGCCAGGCACCACGCAAGTACTTCTAGCAATTATTCAATGATTCAATGATGGCGTTGCGTGCCTCGCGAGGCTGCTGCTGTCTACAGCAGCAGTAGTGCGCTACCTTGATGGCTTCGGACGAGCGAAGTGCACAATTTCCCACACAAGTGCTAAACAAGGCGTGTCCTCCGTAAGCGTTTAACAGCAGTTTCTTTAGCAACAGAACGTCAACACATCCCACAGCCTCCGTGAAATCCTGGGATGAACGAGGCTTGGCGATTGCAACCTGTGTGGCGACGCCTCTCCGATCGTCTTGTGCGTCTTGTAGGGGTGCACTCTCACGCTGCTGTCTTCAGACAACACAAAAATAAAGAGATACGCCACCAAGATTTTCAAGGTTACAACGAGCGAATACACGCCTTCACGACGCATCAGAGCACCCGCACCGCTAGAGGTTCAATCGATCAGCACCCTCCCCACTGGCATAAAAAAAGGTAAGGGGGTTGGGTGTAGAGGGAGGTTGCCGAGCTAACGCTGAGCGTCAACCACCAAAACCCCTATAACCACGAACCCTCTCTGCTCCTATCCACTCCTCATCCAAAGCGACATGATTGGCAGCTGTCGGTTCTTGTTCCGAACTCCGCAAAGCCGTGTCGCCCAACGCTCTTGCTCTTTCCCCCTCCACCCGCGAGTGCCTCACCTTCGTCTGTCCAGCACACGTGCCTGCCCTGGAAATGTGGCCACAAGCAGGCACGGCCCGACCCACCAGCGAATGCTGGGTCTGCACAGATAGTATTATATTATACCAGGGTGATCGAAATGGGACCCTTCTGCGGAGCCTCTCGTCCTGACGACACGCGAAATTGCTGCTTGGAATCGCCGGCACCGAATCGCTTCCTGCTCACGCAATCGCTCCACTTCCCGCCCTTCTCCGGAGAGGGCCAGCTGACCGCCCCCCACAGGTGACAGGGATCGTGCTATTACGCAGTCGATTCGTTCGTGTTGCAGGCTCTTGACCCGTTCTAGCTGACGGGTCGCGTGGCGATTCAACCTTTATTTCAATCTCCCTTCCAGAGTGCTCTGGGCAGCAGGTAGTAGCAGCAATAATAGTATGCCGAGTTGATACGCCAACAGACGCTGCAGGGAGGCGCGCTGGTACAGAGGACCAGGCGACCAGGCGTAGATTCGCACCTTCGACCTCTTATCTCGCATCCCATCCTGCTAGTGGCCCTCTGACTCTCTCCAATCGTGACCACGGCCACGCCTCTTTCGTCTTCTCTCGCAGCATTGAAATGAGGTTTCTCCGTTTGTTTCGGCCCTCGCCTGCTGTGTAGAACGAAGCCTGCGCCCCTCCCTCCCACAGGCGAATGTAGTGATCGCATGCCTCATGAACAGCAGGTGCTCTTCTGGTGTGGGCCCCGTATGTCTTGCGCTCCTCGCGTCTACCCGGGTGGAGTTTATTTTGGTCACTCAACTGATACGATGATACGATACTCACTCGTTCCTCAACCGGCTCTCCTGCTCCTAAAAAAATCTCTCCTCTACTTGAACAGCAGTCAAGCAGCCAGCAGCATCCTCCCCCTCGATTAGCCGGCCCCCTTCCGGAAACACAAGCACCACGAGGGCTCAAAAGCGCCAGAAGGTCAGCCCTCCGCCGCCGCCTTCCCCCGAAGACCCGGCCTTCGCCTCGGACCCGCAACAGCAAGAGATGGAGGACGACCAGGGGAGCGACAACGAGTATGACTACGAGTACGAGGACGATGACATCGATGACGATGACATGGCGGCCGGCGGTGGAGACTCCGGAGGCGGCAGCAGCGCGAGCGGAGGCGGCGGCGGCGCGGCGGGGGGGTCAGGGAAGGGCGCCCGGGGCGGGGGGGGCTCGTCCGCCGCCGAGGCGGAGGTGGACCTAGCCCTCAGGGACGACACCGCGGTGGCCTTCATCGACCAGGCGCAGCTCAAGGTGCTCATGTCCAAGGTCGTCTCTGACATCAGGTAGGTAACTCTGTGTCGTACACTTAACTGCTGCTTCATGCAGGGCCGGCTCTCTCGGTGTTTGATTTTTGTCGCGTCCCAGCGGGACGCGGTATGTTAATATTATTATCGCGACTTTGGCTTGGTGCTAAAAAACACATATTTGCGTTGGGCGGCTGTTGCAGTGGAGACGAAACTGGCCGTAGCGCGGGCGTTGGGGTGTTGGTTGAAGCAAGCCGCGACATAACCACAGCGGGGCAGCGGTCGTCCAACAGCTATTATAGCTGCGGATGAACGTCAAGGCCGGGAGCCCTTCCCCGCTTGTTGGCCCCTGCCGCTCCCGCCGCAGATGACCCTACGCACGGTGCAGCACCGGAACCCCTCTCGTGGTTGCAGGCTTGAAGTCGGTGGAGTTCTCAGCCACCGATGGAGAGAGGCATCGGTACACAACAGCAGCAGCGAAAGAGTTTTTATCCATGTTGGAAAACCACCACACGGCTATGTTACCCCAGCGTCCCCTTTTGTTTTCCGGCCTCCTTCAAACACAACAGTTCTATTGCTCGTTCCATGCGTCGGGCACGTCGGTCGCCCAAGAATATTAAAAAGCGGCATACCGAAAGCGCGTTTTGTTACACCTCGAAGCGGGAAAACCTCCCCCCTACGCCAGCGTCGCAGCAGTAGTGCATCGACTTCCCGCAAGTCTTGACCGACAGACATCGCCGGCAAACTCAAGTCAAAAGCTGCTGGCGGCCGCCCTATCCAAGAGCGGGTGCTTGCCCTTTCACAGACCACTTAGTCCATCGCACAGCGTAGGCTTTGTGAGTGGAACCGATGTTGGATTGCCGCTCCACTGCTGGTTGCTGCTGCCACTGGTGCCGGGCATTCGAAGCAGCGACGATTTTTCGTGTGCAGTGTGGAAGCAAACCCGGCGGTTTCGCGCCTCCTCTCCGGAGGGAGGCCCGTGTTGTGTGCTACATGCATACCCCCCCCCCCCTACCCCTTACCTTGAGGCCCTTCCTCGCGAGCGGTTCTTGCGGTCAAGACCAAGGTGACACCGCCATGATGACGCGGGGCGGGCGATCAGCCGCAACGATAAGTCTAACGCGCGTGACGAAAACATTTGAGAAGGTTGAGGTTTCCACCCATGCCGGAAAATCAACACAAGGCATGGGGACGTGTGTTGCAGAGCAGATAATATCGCGGTGGCTGTTTACATTGTTTCAAAGGCAGCCGCTGGGAGTCGTTTGTGATTTGGGTTACTTTCAGCCAGGTTGTTGCTGCTAGGGGCAAAGCAGCCCACATTTCCTGTTTCAAGGGCACGGATGGGGGGCAAACGATTGAACGTTTTCGGGTAAGCAAAAGCGAGTGCTACCAAATAATGCCTGGCCAATTTCGAAACACGCGGGCTGGAGAGAAGGCGTGCGCTGCTTCAAGGCATTGCTGGGTGTCCTCTCCGAAAAGCTTAACCCTGTACAGCAGTATTGCATATTGTGCTTGCTTAGGGTAAGGTTAACTAGTACCCCGTGTTACAGTAGTACCCTGTATGCACCTTGGGCGCAGACGCGAGAGGGCAAGGCAAACCAAGCTCACCGCACGTAAAAAGCCCCTTCCCCCTTCCCCCTTCCCTCGTGGTACAGAGTCCAGCGGCTAAGGCATGCAAAGCATGAGAGTATACACCCCCTCCTCGTCCCCTCCATTGACTCGTGTCGTTCTGCCTCGTGTGGTTTGTAACCCCTGACCTTCACCGCCCCCCCCCCCCCCGCCCCCCGCCCCCCTCGCACTTTTTTGCATGTGTGCGTCGGTACGACCGGTAACAGCGAGACTGTGAACATTTCTGCGGAAGCTGCGACGGCATTGCTTCGACATTTTTCCTGGAATCGCGAGCGCTTGTTCGACCAAGTACGTGTGTATCATAGTACACGCAGCGTTACCACTGGCTGTTTTCCGTTTGTGTCTTGTGAAAAAGCGTTCTTGACGATTGTCCAGGTCTTAACGCTGCTTTGATTTTGGGTTTTGCCTTCTTTGTGGATGGCCTCTTGGCAGCCAAGGTATTTGTTCTTCGTGTTCAGTCGTGGGGAACAGGAGGTATTCGATGAACGTCAGACTAGGTTTTTAGCGGGGAGACAATATCCAACACGACAGCACTGCTGTTTTGGAGACAACCCTGGGCGAGCTTTTTGTCTGTATAATCCACTCTCGTTACAAACTGGCAGGCGTTGCCGCGCAGGGATACAGCCAAGCTTTGTCGCAAACATGCTTGGTGTTCGTCTCTCCTCCTCACTACTCTTCGGCGTCCGAATATCGGCGACGGCGCGTTCAGGGGTCGCGATGTGTCTAATATTTTGTTGAAATCGTCTCCCTTGTTTTTTCTAGCACCAACTGGGCCTGACCCGGCTGTGCCACCGCTCCTCTGTCGATGCGCGTCCTTTTCTCGCTCTCGTAGAATCACACCCACCGTCTTAAGCCGTGCTGTGGTTCTCCTATGGTTGGCATCGACCACGCCGCCCGGCTTATTTGCACGCACCTCATGCCTCTCTATTTCCCCGCACGCCACGCGTCCCGCGTCTTGCAGTACTACACGTCGCCGGAGTCGGTGATGGAGAAGGTCGGCATCGCCGCCGGCGGGCACAAGACCGGTTCCCTCAAGGACGGCGAGAAGCTCGAGTGCCGGATCTGCTGCGAAGAGTTCACCGCCAAAGAGGCGTACGCGCTCGCGTGCAAACACTTCTTCTGCCGAGGGTGCTGGGCTGCGTACCTGGGCGCAAAGGTATGAAGCAAAAGCAAAAGCTCCGCTCAAACTGCAAAAAAAAAGACAATAGACTTGATTCAACACACCCACCCTTGGACTGACTGACTACTGCGGTGTCACCTCGACCGGCTGTGCGATTGTACAGTCGTAGGCCCTCCATAAGGCGGGTATGCGCCAGACGGATTCACCCCGCCCAATAGCGGGCACCCGCACTATTCAATGTATTTGTAACGGTCTTCGAATATTCCATCTGTGTCAGCCAATTTCACCCGCCCTAAAGCGGGCACCCGCTGAAAAAACACTAGCTCCCTTTCCACGCACGGCAGTGGCACTCACTTCAAAGACTTCATTCGACACACACACCTTTTGTTTCTCCGTAAGGGCTCGCTGCTGTACTGGAAGTCACTTTTTGCAACCCGAATTTTGTTGGTCCGTCCACGGGTCCAAGATGATTTGGTGGTGGGAGGTGGTGAGTTCGAGTCCCCGGCGTGGCGTCGGAAAAAACCGGCTTGCCGATAAAAACATCGTTCACGTTCGGACACGGATTTCCCGCCATCCCTCCCGCGCTATATCCCACCGTAATAAAACGCAATCGCAACGCCTGTGACCGCGTTGCTTGCCTGCAGGTGCAGGAGGGTCCGACGTCCGTCTACACGACGTGCCCGGAGCACAAATGCCCCCAGATCGCGAGCGAGAGCACCTTCTCCGAGTTCCTGTCTGCGGAGGACCTGAAGCGCTACCAGGCCTTCTCGCTGACGAGCTTCGTGGACATCAACAAGATGCTCCGGTTCTGCCCCGGGAAGGACTGCGGGATGGTGGTGAAGGCGCCGCTGAGCTACCCGCGGAGCGTGCGGTGCAACTGCGGGTCGGTGTTCTGCTTCCGCTGCGGGGAGGAGGCGCACGACCCGGCTTCGTGTGAGGAGCTGGCGATGTGGAAGGAGAAGTGCCAGAACGAGAGCGAGACGGCCAACTGGATCCTGGCCAACACCAAGCAGTGCCCCAAGTGCAAGACGCGCATCGAGAAAAACCAGGGGTGCAACCACATGTCGTGTCGACAATGCAAGGTGTGTCGCGGTGTGTTTGAGCGTTTGCGTGTGGCCGGCCGGAAGTTGTTGTATGGTTGTAAGAGTTTCGTTGGATCTGTTTGTCCGAGCGGCTGGCTTTGTTGTTTTCTTCGCGTGTTTTGTGCCGGGTACGACGGTGTCGCGGTCACCACGGCGAAAGCACACCGACAGCAGCAGCAGTCACGGAGCCCCCGTGCATCTCCGCTTCAAAGGGAGCACCTCATCCGTGGTATTTCCTTTTCTTCCTTCTTGCCGCAGCTGTCGTGTCCGCAGCTGTCGGGTCATTGTGTTTTTGGTCGAAAACGCCTTCCTTTGCCCGAACTTGCGCCCCGTCTCCCTGTCGTCCTCTCATGTACATTCGTCTTTTCCCCACCCATCCCTCCCTTGCCCTCGGCGTGGATCAGGCGGAGTTTTGCTGGATCTGTATGGGTGACTGGAGCGAGCACGGGTCTAGCTCGGGAGGTTACTATAAGTGTAACAAGTACGAGGCGAAGGAGGGAGACGGGGACAACGACGTCGCCAAGGCCAAGGCGGAGTTGGATCGGTACCTCCACTACTACAAGAGGTGAGTTGTCCCGTCCCCCCTTTTCTTGTTGTTGTTGTTGTTGTTGTTACTATTTTCGCTTACTTTTTTCTTTTTTGGCTTACTAGATATGTTGACGGGGCGGAAAGGGTGTGCCTTTTTTTGTTTTTGTTTTTTGTGGGAAGGCGCACCGAATTCATGTCGCCCAGAGGCATGAACGTGTCCGCGCTTGTTTGGCTCACCGGTTGCGTTAGCGGCGCTTCGACGGAAGGCCACGACGACAGCTGCCGACATGTTTCATTTTGGTGGCGTTGTGCTGCTGGCGGTGGCATGCCGTGGTTTCCCTGTTGCTGGCGTGTAGAAACCAACAGCTGCAGGGCCTGACGGCATGCCAACTCTCGCACACTCGCCCCACCCCCCCCCGATTGGTTAACCTCTGACAGTCTAGTCCCCACTGGCGCTTTGAAGCTTTAGTTGCTCGGAAGTTGAGGACGAAAACCGTTGGACGCGTTGATCGTGGGGCACGTTGGTCTTTCGTACCCACCTCGCTATGGTAGCGACACGTATGACCCCCCCCCCCCTACCGCACCTTGTTCGCGACCCCCATTTCACCCTCAGGTATCAGGCGCACGACTCGTCGCAGCAGATCGCGGAGAAGCAGCAGGACGCGACAGAGCGGCGGATGGTGGAGCTGCAGGAAAGCTCGGCGGGAAGCGCGTGGATCGACGTTCAGTTCTTGAAGACGGCCATGGAACAGCTTATCGAGTGCCGCCGCGTGCTCAAGTAAGTAGTAGCACATGGGCCGCCTACTGCAGCTCCGATCCCTCTGGCGGCTTGTTCAAGGACTCCGAAAGCTTCACATGTTGGGTGCCCACTGGCTCTTGTTTTGTTAAGGCATCGTTGTAGTGGTCCGTGGGATTCCTGTCTCCGAGGCCTCTGTAGGTGTTTGGCATGCAGCAGCACCGTGCGCGAGTGCGACGCCATGGCCTGCCCCCGTCTGGTGCAAGCCTTCATTACACAGCAGTTGCCTTGTCTTGCGTACTGCGTGCCTTCTCTCTCTCTCTTTCTCTCTCAACGGTTCCACTTGCGAATAAAACACGCCACAAAAAAACGTTGCCGCCACAGGTACACGTACGTGATGAGCTACTACATCGAGGAGAAGACTCCGGCGAAGGAGCTGTTCGAGCACCACCAGGAGAACCTCGAGAAGTACACGGAGCGCCTGCACGAGCTGTCCGAGTCTCCCCTCGAGAAGATCGAGCGCACCAACGTCATCAACTACACCCGCTGCACCGACCGCTTCTGCAAGAGCCTCCTGCAGAGCGTTCAGGACGGACTCCAGGGATCGGTGTAGGGGGTGGGGCCATGGTCCAGGGGGGTTGTTGGCTCTGCGTTGTCTGGGACCAGAGAAAGCACACGTCGCACGTTTAGGGGGGGAGGGGGTCTCCTAGAGACGGACCGGGCTCTCGTAGGTAGGTTATTAGTCGGTCGTAGGAGGCAGGGTGGTGGGTTTCGCGCGGAAGGAACCGTTGCTTTGCCACGAGCAGGCAGTGGTTAGAAGGTTGTTCTGTGCGAGGTGTTTAGGGGTAGGCGGTTGCGACGGCGGCGGCGGCGGCGGCGGCGGCGGCATGTCGTTGTCGCAGCTGGTATCGCTAGGGAAGCCCCACTGTCCCCCCAAGAGCGAGGTGCCTCGTGAGGGGAATGGGCAGGGGGTGTAAACTCTTTTGCTGGCCGTATTTGGGTGTATCCTAGGCCGTCTCGTACCCCTGATCTGCTGTCGGCACGGAGTTGAACGGTGTTTCGCTCGCCCGGCAGGCAGTGGGGGCACCCAGTGCGAAGCGCCGTGAGGTATCCATTCACGTTGAAGGAACGGGTTGGCTGTGAAATAAAAACCGTTCGCGCGGTGTACTTGGGCAGCTGATCTCTTCGCATTGTTGGGATGGCAGCTTCGAGCTTTACAGGGGGGGAGCCAGGGGCGGCAGTCGAAGGAGAAGGGCGACAAGGTTGTGCTGGGGGGCACGCGGGGGGGGGGACGCGTCTTGGTTCCGTAGCGCCGGAAATGTGCAGTCGCGCGCCCTTTTCCGACGTTTGTTTTTGTTGCGTTTGCCATGTGTTATGTTTTAGCTGTCCGTGGTTTTAGGTTTTGTCAAGGGCGTTGTCGGAGAGTGTACATCTGTTGGAGAGCCACGCGCCCTTTGCGACTGGGAGAGCAGCGCGTCGAGTGTTGTACATCATTTCATGATTTTTTCATTTTTGAGGGGTGGGGAAGAGCAGCAGGAACGTGCGATTCTCTCCCGTATGACGTTGTCAGGGATTCCCTTTTCATGTTTTGCGCGCGGGGAAAGGTGGGCAGGTCCAAGAGCGAGAGTTTGAGCCGGCGGCCAACATTCCCCAGAAAATGAAAGAGAAAAGACTTTTGCTACGCGCTTTTCCCGTGAGACACTTTTTGGTTTTGGTCGTGACCTGGATCATTGTTCGTACGTGAACTTACGAGTCGGCGAGTGCTGTGCTACCACCGACCACCATGATGGTAGTCGACCGCAACTGTGGGTCTCACGGAAGCGCGCTGGTCTCTGTTTTTCCTTTTGTGGCGTTCCCACCTGTTTGTTGAACGTTAGACTACACCGTTGGGGAACAAGTAATCTATCTATGTGGACACAGTTGTCGGGGTATTTTTTTTTTCTCGACCCGTTTTACCGTGCTTACTGTTTTGTTTTAATCGCCAGAACGATTCAGCCTGGTGGACCATGAAAAGAAAGTCGATTTTCATGGAGCCATGAAATGACTCTTTTCTCCACGTTAGTTTGGACCGGGCACATGACGGGAGAAAAGGGACCCGGCTAGTTTGACTGCGCCGAGAACTCACGTCCCAACGTCGCCGATGATTGCTACGTTTACCAACTGCGTCACGGGGGCGGTCGCAAAGCGCGTCTCCATTCTGTAAACGCCGGGAGAAAGCACCCGTAACTATTGTATGATTTTTCATGAATGGTCGAAATTCCAACACTGGTGGGTGGCGTGGTGTTTTTGTCGCGTACGGAGTCACCACGGGGGCGACACCGACTCGGCATCCACCCGGCTCAACCGAAACTCAAAACAAGGTCAAATAACATCTTCCAGCAGGTCTCCCTCAATTCTTCCTGTTAAGGCAACACCTTCCAGATGCTAAATGAGGGTGTGAAGTCCGTGAAATGTTTCTTTATCTACAAACAGGGGCTGCATGCTGCCGTGCACATGCACGTGAGCCACGATGTTTCGCTTGTCGCTCCCGGCTCTGCTATTATAGTCCTGAATCCAAGATCCCATCAGATAAAACAGATGGATCACACATCGGTGCCTTCCTCATCGAAGCCACACCTCAAGCGTTTGATTTGTGCTAGGTCAATCTTACCTACTTGCCATCGCTCGCAGTATACACCTACGGCAAGATCCCTGGCCTCCCCCTTCCCTTGACCTACTCCTTGCCCGCCATCGCAATCCAAACGCCTGGTTTGTACGCGTGCCACATGGCTGGGCGTCAGCCAGCCCATCGTTTTCCTCCCAAAACGCGGCAGCCCCCGCCGAAGGCAGCAGGCACCCCCCACCCCCTGCCTGTGTAGGTACCCTAGTGACGGTTGCGGTTGGGTGTCCCTTTCTCGTGCGCATCATGCGGCAACAAACATGTAAAGCCACAAACCTTACGGTAACAATATCGACTTGAGCCCACGGCACTACGGCACACTTATTGTACGAAAACGCGGAACAACCTCCAACGGTTTGTTGAGATTCAAAACACAAATACAGGGCATGTTCTGGCTCCTCAAAAACACGGGCACCGGGCTGCGTTCTTGCGCCCCACTTCAAAAGCATACGCGTCAAAAACATGGGGGCGGAGACAGCACCGTCTTGTGTGACGCAAGGGGACTGCGGCCAGGGGTGGCCAACACCACTTGGCGTAGCTGACCAGAACGCATGCTGCTCAGCAGCTACAACAAATGCACAACTGACACCAAGAGCTCGCGCCCCTTCTATCCCGCACCCCCCCCCGCCGCGCTACCTTGCGCGCGCCCATGGAGCACGGCACTGGGAGCAAGCGCACTCAAACACCGGCAGACTATAATAGCGCTTACATCAAAGGGCACGAACGCCATAGCAACCCGCCGAGAAGAGGCCTGGCCAGCCTTTGCTGGCTCGGAGACCCCTCTAGGAACCCCGACCCCGAGCACTGACGCTTCACACTCACCAGAGGTTACTGCAAGTTGGGAACACTAGGGCGCGGGCGTGCCGCGCAGTATCGCCTATATCCCGGTGCGGACCAGGTCCTACATCACTGTACGTGGGGTAGTCCCAGTCGCTGTGCATGGGACATACTCCAGGCCCCCGTGAAAGATAAGAGCCAGGCGGCCATGGGTGCAATTAAACCGTACTTCGTTTTGGGCGGCGGAACAAGGGAATACCCTCTTCTGTCCGTTGCTCGAGAGAAAAAACGGCCAAAATCAGCATTTTCCACCCTTCCCAGGTGCGCCAGGAGAAGAGCCGTTGACGCCCCAGTCGTACTCGAAGTGGTCCACCTTCAAGCTGCCCTTGTTCTCGCTCACGTACGTGCGGACGTCTTCCGGCATGTAGGGCAGCAGGGCGTCGAGGACAGAGTCCTTTCCTATCTTGGTGGTAAAGTCACCCTCGAACCACTGGAATATCTACGAACAACAAAGGGTAAAAAAAAATTTCAAGTCAAGCATACGGAGCAGAGCGTGCAGCAGAAAAACGAGGAAAGGAGGCGCTCTTCCTAGAGGAAGACAACGGTGTCTAGCCGCCTGGCACGCTAGCGGGTTCTCGAGATCAATGCAGCAAGCAGCTGATATTGTGGGGCTTATTTTTTGCACTGACTGCGACACATGCACGGACGCCACGAATACCCCGAAAGCCGAGCAAATGAACAAAAACAACAATAGGGTGCTGTACATCTGGTTGGCCCCGCTACGTACATATATTAGCTCTCGTATGATGCACAAAACTCGCACGGAACTTTTCCTAATCACGGTGTTGGTGCAGTCGTGGGCAGTGTTCACGGCGGGACCGGCAGTTCACCTTGGAAAGTTTGATGACTCCCTTGGCCTTGTCGAGCGATAGGCCCTTCTTGGGGTTGGTCAGGAAGAGTCTCATGTTGGCCTCCATGTCCGCCTGCAGGGTCTCGGGCTTGTAGGCGGTCAGGGCGACGTCCGGGCAGCTAACGGAAGCGCACACGATGCATGCGTGCAGGAGAGGGTCCGCTGGGTAGTCCTGTCGTGGGAGGCATGAAACCGTTCGCGTTTGCACCGAGAGAGCGGGCGGGAGGGAGGGAGGGAGGGAGGGAGGAAGGGAGGAAGAGGAAGAGGAAGAGGAAGGGAGAGAGAGAGAGAGAGAGAGAGAGAGAGAGAGAGAGAGAGAGAGAGAGAGAGAATGAGGCAGCGATCTTAAAAAATAACAGAATGGATCAAAGAACGGCGACGACGGTAAAAGGCTCCAGCTACCCTCGGTGACAGACGCCGCGAGCTCCGAAGCTCGCCGTCGGAAAAACGGGACATCACAGCAAACGAAGCAAGGGGCCCTTTCTCCTTCTAGCAAACAAAGCGGAGTTACATACCTACTGTACCTTTCCCCCCGTCCCTCCTGCCCCCCCCTCGGTGTTTTGCCATCGGGGTTGGGTTTGCGTTGCTTGGCAACGACGTCGTAGAACAAGCCGATCACTTCGTGAGCTCGGCAACCAGGTGACCGCTTTTTTTTGCCTCTGTTTTTTTCTTCGGCAGTAACCATAATGGTGGTCGAGTAGATTTTGTCATTCGCAGCCGTCATCCGCACGCAAGGAAGTAAGCACAAGATGCCGAACAGCTGTAGCAGGATGCAGCGCACCCTTCATGCGACTCGCCGAATACCTCACGGTGCTTCGCGCTTGGTGATGTGAGAGCCTGGTCCGGTGAGAACCCGGCGTGCTCCGTCCCGGCTTTGTAGGGATGCGAGGTCAATGGTCGAACGACAAATATGGGTACACCTCCCTCCCCCCCCTCCCAGCGAAGGCCGACCCAAATCTCACCTTGGGGTCCCGCAATTTTACGTTCTCGACGTCATCCAGAGCCAGCGTTTCGCCCCCGACTACCCCCGCGGGCTTTTTCCACACCGGCGCCACCACACTCCCGATATCTGAAAGAAGATTGGGATGGGAATCGGAAGGGACGGGGGAAGGGTCATCTATTGCTGGCCTTCGTCTCTTGAGGCTTTTGAGACGAAATCATTCATTCCTGTCTAAAAGAGTACCATACATTTTTTGGCGACATCCAAATCCTTTTCGAGCGCGCCCTCTACCGTACTTCTACGTATCACCGCATATTATGTATCCCTCCTGGTCCTTCGTGTGTGAGGTTTACGTTTGTCAATTTTTATTGAGCAGTACATGTCAAACAAGCGGCACACGTTGGACAAAGCTCGTGGCTGTTTATTTTTCCCGGCTGCCCCACCCCTGGCGAATCGTTTTTCATACCTTTGATGCTGGTTATCCTCTTGGTACGAAACAATCTCTTCTTGCACGGGTTGTCTGTCACCATCTTTATAGCCAGGGCGTTGTAGGTGTTGATCCACAAGGCGTATTCAGCGTCCTTGCCCAGCCCGGATGTTGGCGCGTTCTTGAGCGACTCGACGAAGGTCTCGAAGTTCGGGTCATCTCGGACCCCTGGTCGTTTGAGTTGGCGAGGCATCGACGGTTGGTTGAAAGCGCACGAACGAGCGGATGTAAGCAAGGTTTGCATATTACATCGAACCAGCGACTACTTCAAAGAGTAGGTTCAACACCTTCTCACCTACCAGGTTCCAGAGGTGTAGTTTGGGCGAGTCTCAAGGAGAAATCAAGCAATTGTGCAACACTCGTTTACTGTAGCTTGCCTCGGGCGGTGCCTCCGGTTCCCCCCCCGTTTGCCGATCCGGGCCGATTGGGTCTCGTTTAAAAGTAACTGTCACCAATACTTAAGGATACGGAATGTCAATACAGTATGTCGATATCAGACAGCGGGTCAGGTGACATACGTGTGGTTCACGGGGTATCTTTTACTGACCCGCCAACTGACCTCCTCCGGCCCAACGGGTCCGACCCGCTCGGTTAACCCGCATGTCAGTTCGGGTCAGACCAGAAGATCAGTTCCATGTTCCATGTACCCCAACAAACTTTTTACGTTATCTGGAGGCATCCACCGGAGTCAGGTACTTCTGCTGCCACCACACCTGCCGTGCTTTCCTTCATTTTCATGGCGTTAAGCCATCCGTTTTCCTCGTCGTCGTTGAAATCGAATTCGCTTCGAATCAAGTCAGGCACGAATTCGAATCAAGTCAGGCATGCCGTGAGCGAAACGTCCAGCTTGTGGGACTGCGCCAAGATCTGAGACGGAAATTTGAAGTTTGATGTACCAAAACCGACCGAATGGTGTCGACTGCTGCTGCTCCTGCAGTCTAGACACGGAAGTACCAGGTAGTCAGCAGGGCGGGGGGTTGTTGTTGTCTAGGACGGGCCCGGAATCGCGTGCACGCCAAAGGTGTTGACGATGGTCAAAGCTGCTTCTTTTTCGTGCGCACGATGCGTGTTTGTACGGCAAGCAGTGACCGGCAGTTGCACACAACAGCGGCTGCTGAGTCGCGTCTGCTGCGGGTGCCAGCAGCAGCAGCAGAGCAGCAGCAGTGGTCAAAAAGGCACAGGGACGAGCGTGGTAGTTGAGAACGCTGTTTCGGTGCCCATCACGGGCGGCATGTACGTCTACCACTCCACACAGCGGCAGCAGCACACACCTTGATAATCAACCACGTTCAGCGGTATCCCCCGTATCTCTGAGGTCTTGACGTGCGCTTTAACAACCGAGTCCCACGCGGCGTAGTCGGGGGCAGAAGAACCTGCCATTTCGGCGCAGGGGTGTTTGGGGGATGAGGTGCTGGTGACGGACAGTGCTCCCGCAGCAGCAAGGGCAGCAACACGCCCGACGAAATGAGCTCGTGTGATGAGTGCTATCATCAATTGAACGGCTCGGTCTCCTTCGGGGAGAATGGTAGGAAACAACGTCCCGAGCAGGTCGATGCCATCAAGCTGGCCTGCGCCAGGAAGAGCCAACGATCACCGCGACTGCTGAAGACAGCCCCAAAAAAATGGACGGTGGCGTTTTCACTGATTTGCGTGGTTGGGTCGACCTGCTGTCTCTCCACGCACCTCTCGCTGCTGCAGCAGTGAGTCTCCCCTCTGCCCCAGCACCGACTGATACGACAAGCATGTCCGAACGTGATGATTCCAGCGCCGCCCCCGCTGCCGAGCCCGAGGCAACATCGTCCAATGGCGAGTACCGAGTGCCCACCATCGGGGAAGCTGTGGGGGGCGGCGAAGACGCAGGGGCAGGGGACGAGTTCGCCGGAGCGGACGAGATCACCGGGTCGATGTGCATGGTCTGCGGCGGCGACGGCACGACGCGGATGCTCACGACGAAGATCCCCTTCTTTCGGGAAGTTATCCTCAGCTCCTTCGAGTGCGACGATTGCCACTGGAGGAACAACGAGGTGGGCGTGTAGCGTGTTAGGCCGTGTAGACTAAAAAGCCAGCAGCGTCTATACAGCAGGCACGAATGGATGGGCGATCAGCTAGAATCACACGAGCACAACAGCAGAACGCACCTTTTCTACGGACTATGGACACGTTACGATCGATGCACGGTGAAAGTAAAAACTAGAATGAGTTTTGTGCTCGACTCGGCTTGGGCTTGAGTCGTGGGGAAAGTCCAATCTGCAAACGAATTTACTGTAAGTAAATAGACAAATTCAGGCGAACAAATTCGTCAGATTTTGATTTTACCCATCGTTCTGAGGAATGCTCCTGACAGTCTCGCCATTTCCCACAGCAAGGATAAAAAATTCACAACAAGAGCGGAGGTTGGCTCGTTTTGTGGAAAATTGTTCACAACTTTTCGGTTTAGACAACTTCTTCGAAGTGACACACCTGGCACCACACACACACACACACACAGCAGTCAAAAGAGCATGTGGCGCGGTCAAAGAGAAACTCAGTGCCCAGCGAACAGGCCCTGGCGTTGGCGCGCCACAAACATGAACAGAGGGAGGCCGCACGGTTAGGAAGGACGTGGAGGCAACGACGACGAAGAGGTGATGGAAGCACCAGCGAGCAAACCAGAGCAGGAGGAGGATCACGAAGTGGCCTCCCAGTTCGGACTTGATGCTGGCGAAGACGGGCGAGTCTTTCCCCGCGCAAGAGGATTATCTCTGCTTTCTAGAAGCGTTTGAGTTGGATGTGCCCCTCCCAAAACTCCTCTCCGAACGCTTAGAACGCGACATAGCACGTCATTCAGAGGCTGCCGGCCAGCACTATTACTTCCTGTCTCCGTACTGGTGCGATTTCGTGTGCTGGGGTTGAACGAGCGACACAGACGCGCGCACGCATGCACGCCGCACACACTCAACAGCTGTGGGAGCGCTGTCAAGGTGCAGCGGTCGCGCAGCGCGGCCACGAATATTAGGAGGACTGTTGCCCCACAGTCAATCACATGAAGCCGCCTTAAATCTGCAAATGTTTGCCTGCGCGAAGTTTCCAGGAAACGTGCTTATCCTTGAATCTGCTTGTTTATATGGAAAAATCGAAAAATCGGAGCCCCGGTCCGAACCTGTGTAGTTTTTGTTCATCTTGTGTTTAGTGCACACACCACGCAGACGGTGCGCTTGTGCCATGAAGTGGAGCCGTGGAACAAAGTGATTTTAATTCGCGGCTTTGACTGAACCTACACAATAATATGTATGCGAAGAGTTTTCAGTTCTGCTTCCTCGTATGTCGACAGCCCGCGGTCGGGTGCGGCGGGGAGCATATCCCTGTTCGTTGGAACTTTTGGCACGAAGCCAAAATGCATCAGCAGAACTCTTCCACAGCCAACATAACGCCACAACCACCACCACCAACAACAACAACAATAACAACAACGACGTCGACGACCATGTGTTTCCTTGAAGGTTTGCGTTTTTAAAGTCCCTAGGGGGTTGGTTGTTGTTGCTGCCAGCGTTTGCCCGCAATCACGTGACGTCTTTCAGAGGTATTTGTTCTTGGGGCTATTCAGAAGTCGTTTATTTGTACATTTTCGACTTCAACACTTTCGGGTAGTATCATTTTACAAGCTTTCGTACGACGACGCCTTTGCGCTATGTGCGGTTTGGTGGCTAGGACACACATATTGGCTATAAAGAACATGGTGGTTTCAATCACTCAGCAACGACCGTTCGACGATAATCCGACGACGTTCCTGGCATTAAACTCGGCCTACAAGTATGTTTCGTGCGTAGCACCGCCACTTGCTTACGCCCGGCTCCCTGCCAACTGTCCTCCCTGCTGCTGACTGCTTCTTGGTGTAGGTGGTATTTGGAGGCGAGCTGCAGGAAAAAGGGTGCATCTTCGAGCTCACGGTCAACAACGCCGAAGACCTTAACAGGTACTCTAGGCGTGTACTACACCATCAGACAGGAGCTTTCGACATTTTTTTGCGACTTAATAGTGTCGTTGGTGTTGGTGGGGAGCTTTGCGGGTTGGTCCGCGAAGATGTTTTTCCGGTCCGCGACAAGCACCATTCTGCACCCTGCTCCTACTGCTGCTCCTGTTGTTGTTGTCGAGCTGATGACACGAATTTCGGCTCTGCCGAAAGCATTCTCCCTCGAACGAAGAGAATTTTGGTTGATACATATGATGCCGACCACCATCTTGCTCTGTTGGTCCGGCCGGCTCTTCCTACGCTTGCAAGCAACGCACGGTAACTCCACGGCACGCACACACCCTTCCCCCGCTGTTCTTGACCAACTGCTCTCCGACTCCAACTCCCTGCAGGCAGGTGATCAAGTCGGACTTCGCCACAGTAACGTTCCGCGAGATGGAGTTCCAGATCCCGCCGAGGCAGCGGGGGGAGGTCACCACGGTTGAGGGGCTGCTGAGGACGGCCGCCGAGAAGCTTGGAGAGGCGCAGGATCTCCGCATGGAGAGGTCGCCCGAGGTGACGATAAGAGAAGCAGTGGGGCGGGGGGTGGGGGTGGGGGGGTGGGAGGGTAGCAGGAGTCGGGGTAAGGTACGGAGGGCAGAGAAAAAGGGGCAGAAAGCGCAGAAATATGTGGCGGGAGAGGAGGGGGGGGGGTCTGGACACCGCGTAGTTTTCGAGCGTGTGTGTACTGCTGTTGTGTGCCGTTTGCGATTTGTTGACTCGGTATGCTGTGGGTGGCTCTAGCGAGGGTGTTTGGGAGAGAACCAAGGCCTTTGCGTGGTGTTGGTTTGTGGAAGCAATATTTACGAGGGACAGGGACAGGGAGGGAAAGCCCAGAGAGCGTCTGGGAGGACCGGTGCGCTCGTTGCGCTCTTTGCTAGATGTAGTCTTCCGTAAAGATGTCGCAGTATGCTACAAGTGCGAGTAAAGCACTCGGAGTTTGTATGCTGGCCCGTTTGTGTTCGAGAGAGATCGAGAGAAAGAGACAGTTACAGACAGACCGACAGACAGACGAACAGGGCGAGAGAGAGGGAGAGAGGGAGAGGGAATAAGAAGGAAGAAGGCGGGACCAAAGCACACCACCGAATAGGTGCGGAACTATCTACATGAGTCGCTCGTGACGCTTTGGATCGAGTTTGCTCCTCTCGACCAGCGCAACCGGAAGCACGCCTATCATCTCCCCGATCAGTTCGTCTACGTCTACATACGCACCTCCGAATCTAACCACCCCACGGTCGGCCCTTAGCAAAAGACGTCCGTCGCGTGTTCATCTTTTTAACACCCGCAAGGTCGGGGCCCAGATCGCCGGGGTCATCGCGCGGCTGGCGCTCATGAGCACCGGAATTGACTCTGAGCTTCCGTTCACCATGGTGGTGGACGACCCGTCCGGCAACTCCTTCGTCGAAAACCCTTCCGCGCCGAACAAAGACCCCGCCCTTAAGGTAAGGGGCGGACAAGGCAGTGCTGACAAAACGGGCGTTGAGAACGCTGCCCTCCCGCGTGAGGTGTGCCTACGTTGATGGATTTGTTGATTGCTATTGTTCGGGACATGAGGTTACGTGACACCGAACAACCGCAACAGCAGGAATGAATCCTTGCGGCGAAGGGAACAAATCGCACGGGTTCGTGCGCCGTCGTTGGAGGTCCCCCGACTGCAGTACTGCCGTAGGTTAGCACCAGCATTCTCAAGGGCTATCGACCCTGACAATCACACCGTCACGCCCAGCAAGGGTCTGCGTGCACTCCTTTGTCTAGACGACAGCATGCTGCAGCCGCCCCCGACTCCTCGCCCCCCCCGTCCGATCCTCTGATCACCTCCGCCGCGTCCGCGACACCACGCCACGCCGCACGTGATGTCACGGCAGACGTCACACTTCACGCGCACGGCCCAGCAGGACATGTCTCTGGGTTTGCAGCCGTCCAACGAGGCGTTGGCAGCGGGGACCGTGGACGCTAGCTCCGCGGCGAGGCCCGCGCCGCGCGAGATGGAGGGGACCGCGGCTCTGATGGCCAGGATCATGAGCAAGGTGCGTATGCGTAGATGTAGCCGGGAGCGTTGTGTGGCGTGTATATGCGTGGGGCCCTGTCTGGCATACAGTGGTTGAGTGCTCTATTACGGTTTGCTTTGTATAAGCGCACGGATTTCCCCACCCGAGTACACGCTTATTGAGTCGGGAAACAGGACACACGAGTGGAATCGACGCATGATAGCATCCAAATCAGCACACCGAAACAGCACCTCGCAAGTTCCTGCCAAACACACAACAGCTTCCCGTTCCTGAAACCGATTCAATAGCACCCAGCGCCAGCACGAGCACTAACAAGCTAGGTTAGCACACGGAACCGAGGACAAAACCGCGCTATCGCTGCCTCACGTGGATGGTTTTTATCGATTGCCGTTTTCCCCATGGCGGAGAACGTCCGGGATCGATCAAGAAACCAAGCTTTCCGAGTGTTTCTGAACGTGGTAGTCTAGCATTCATCCGTCGTTTTCTAGACACCTCTTCGGGTGAGATGGAGAAGGGCGGTGACTAAGGAGAAGGTACGAGTGTAGTCTGTTTATGTTTGAAGGTGTTGTATGTATAACGGAAGTATCATGCTTTCTGTGTGTTTGGGGTGTGTTCGAGCGCGCAGTCGCGTGCGCCAGAGATATGAAGGTCGGACGCATGCAGTGTGGAGCGGCAGCAGCAGCAGCAGCAGCAGCAGGCTAGCCGCTTGTGGACAGGGGGACTCAGCTGAAGCCTACAGTAGCTAGGCTCTAAAACGGATCCCAGGCAAAGATAAAGCTGGGGTAGGGGAGGGGAGGCTAGAATCAAACACCGCTGCTTATTGTTTCAGTTTTTATCAAGAGAGGGCGAGGCAAGGAGGGATTCCAACGAATACATGCGTTTTCTCTCGGGCCAGCAACTAGACCACCGCACCTTGTTCACAGATCACGCAAGCAGAAGGGACGGCTACACACAACACACAACAACATGATTTCGGCAACCTACCCCCCCTCACTGCTTGAACAATTCCTCCTAGGGCGTTGGCGCAAGTCAAGGCGACGGCAAGGCGGGGGAGGAGGAGGAGGGGGGGAGTTTCATGCGTAGGGAGGCGGTGCGGTTGCCCGATTGCTGCCCGGCCTGCGGAGCTCCGGGGCACTCGTTGACGTGCCTCGCCGAAATTCCGCATTTCAAGGAGGTCGTGATCATGGCCTTCAACTGCGAGTCGTGCGGCTTCAAGAGCTCGGAGGTGATGGGGTGTTTTTTGTCGTGGAGACGGCTGTTATTATTGCTGTTGCTGTTACTGCTGTTGCTGTTGTGTGTTGTTTTTCGGCCAGACGTCGTTGCTGTTTGTTTTTTATCGGCCAAGCACCATATCGACATTTGCAACTTAATGGCACCTTTTCTTCTTGTACATGTCGAGTTGATCTCTTTTGCAAACTTCCGTCCTGCTGTGCAGCAGTGAAAAGGTACACAACTGGAGCACTTTTTTGTTGCGTTCGACCAATGAAAGCACGCCAGTCTCGCAACAGGGAAACCAAAACGTCTAGTGCGGGTATACTTGGAGTGTGTGTGTGGCGATCGACTCTTAAAACCGTTACGATGCGCTCGAAACGTTTTATGCGGCCGGCCGACTCGAGGTGTGTCCTCGTGAACGAGCACGCATGTACGTACGTGTACACTGGTAGATTCTCATCAGCCATCACGCACCGCTCTCTCACCAGTCGTCACTCCTTGCGTTTGGCCAGCTCGAAGAAAATCTGCCATAACGTCTAGCGAGTCTTGGTCTCAGCGACCATGTGACCGAGCCGCCCGGCTCCCGGTGTCTCACTCGCGCCCTCGCCAGGGCGCTCAACCCGCTCCACACTTCTGTTACCTCGAGAGACCGATATCAGCAGCTGTTTTAGCGTGTACCAGTGGTATGTGACCCTTCCGCTACAGATCCTCGCCTTTTTTTTTTTGCTTGCATCTCGCCAAGTGTGCTCTGCTTGAGTCCGGTCGCCTGCCCCATAGGATGCAAACCACCCCGTACCCGCGAGAGGCGGCAGGTTCTCTTTCAAGCGTACCCATGGTTGGGCGTGATGACTTGCTGCGCGGGGGTTCGCCAAGCTTAATTCCGGGTTACTTGCCGGCAGGTCCGGCTTTTGTTCCCCAACCGTTGTTTATTTATTTTTTACTATTTAGCGTTTTTTTGGAGGAGGCGTCGTTGTCGTATGTGTTGACCGGCCCGGGCGTGCAAAAAACTTATTTTTGCCTTTTTTTTTTTAAGGTCAAGGGTGGGGGAGCGATCCCGCCGAAGGGCACGGCGTACACCCTGGAGGCCGTCTCGAAGGACGACTTCAGGAGAGACGTGCTCAAGTCGGACACCGCCGTGCTCGAGATCCCCCAGCTCGAGCTCGTCATGGAGATGGGCACGCTCGGCAGCATGTACACGACGGTGGAGGGTCTCCTCGAGAAGGTATTGTCGCGCGGTCGAGGCCAGCTGGGTGTTGAGAAGGTCGGGTTTTTTTTTTCCGTTCCGGAAGAGATAACAACAAACGGTTGAGACGGACACACGGCTGGCTATGGAACTTTTTTGTTTCCGTTCGAGGAGAACTCAAGGCAAAAAAAATGAGACAGAAACACGAGATGGTTGTCTCCCCTGTGCGCGCATCTAAGGCAGTGTCTGATTCCTGCACGAGGCCGCATGAACATGGACCGGATCGCCCTGTGTAAGGCCGGTGAAATCGCGTGACACAGATAGGGAGTATTCCACCTGTCTCTTGCTCTGGGGTGCTGGATGTAAGGTAGGCCAAATCCCTTCTCACTTGCACAGGGACCACTACTGCCGTAGGGAACGGTTCAGGGAACGGTTCAGGGAACGGTTCAGGGAACGGTCCGTCGCATAGGAGGTGATGGTCCTGTCGTGTTGTTGAGTCACTGTTTAGCGTCCGGTGTGTAGCGTATCTACGCATACAATGCTATCTTTCCTTGTATTCGTCAAGAATAGCCTCTTATCGAAGTGCTGAGAAAGTGCCCTGATTGGTGGAAAAAGCGACTCTCAGCGTAGCTACCGACGAATCACCACTTGAATCAATGCTGCTGCTGCTGCTGCTGCTTGTTTTTGCCTTTTGCCGAGGTGTTGCCTGGGTGCTTTTCCCACAGGGAAATTAACACGATTTCGGTTATGAGATACATGGTACCTAAACCGCCCAAAGGGTACTAGTCACAAACTAAACCTTGAAGGGAATTGAGAAAATGGGGTATACCCCACGTGTTTAGGCACAAAATAGGGTATTCTTCTACTTTTTTTCGGTGTGGGGCGCAACGCCTGACGCCGGGTAGGCGCCTTTAAACCGCCTTCTAGCGCCATGCGGCAGGTCCTTAGGAAGGCCGCCCAACCTTTTTTTTGTTTCACCCACAGGAACAGAGTTAACTAGGACCTGTAAGAGGGGAGCTTGTTCGAGGACCCCATTTTGTTCACGAAACCGCGGGGTGCACCCCTCTCTGCTAAAAGTTTGTCTAGTTCCCCGCTGTTCTCAAACATATACCCCATAATGTTCAAGGCGTACCCCTCTTTGTTCAGTGGTGACGCTCCTGCGGACTGCCAAAATGGCAACCGCAGACCACCATGTCTCTGTAACTGCTGTCTGCTTGTCGCGCCGCAGACCACGAAACCAGCGTGTATCACCGCAGACCACCGTAGGTGTGACGACAGAAGATGTTGAGGCAAACCTACCCTAAAGGGGGTACAGCAGTACACCTAAAAAAACATACCGAGAGGGAGTACATTCCCACCATTTGCTAAGAAGAAAACTTTCCTATGCATACATTGAACAGTTTTGGGAGGTACTGTACGCCTCCCGTCCACCGCTGCCCCCTCCCCGGGCTCGTATCTAACAACAAGGGACAGAACGGCGTGTTGATTGGTGTTTCCACGTGGTGGTAGTGACGGTGTTGGCGATGGCTGGTTGTGTGGACAGCGAGACTGCTGTAGACCCTAGCCCTACACTATGTAGCCCTCACGTGTAATTGCATTTGAGGGACATCAATCTGACCGGTAGTCGTAGAGAAAGATTGCACAGATTTTCTGTGTAACCCTGGACGATTCGACCCTCCCCCCCCCCCGAACCATGTAAATAGTCGCGCAATGTCAGTTGTACAAGAAGGAGAGGGAAGTGTACATGATTGAGCTGGGAAAAATACAAGGGAGTTACAGGTAGATGTTTGAGGCATGGAATAGAGAGGAAAGGACGGTAGCTGTACTGGGGAGTAGCAAGAGGTTTGAAAAGGCGGGAAGGGATATCGTTAGGATAGACAGACTTGGGAAGACATTTTTGAGCCACCTTTGGCAAAGTAGGAAGGAACGATTGGCCATCGGTGATCGGTGCTGTGGGAACAATGTCCGTCCTCTCGAGGACGCGTGGTCAATGGTCTAACCGCTAAGGCATGCAAAACATAAGAGTACGCCCCCTCCCCCCCCCCGAACCAGGCACGCACAAGCCTCGTGGAGGGAAACCCTTTTTTCAGCGGTGATTCGGCCACGGCACACCACGGGAAGGAGAGCGACGTGCAGCGCAAGTTCCGGATTTTCCTGGAGAGGTGAGACAGTGCTGTAAAGTTCCGTATGTATGTACGTACTATGTACAATAGTACCGCTCTGCCATTTTCAAGAAGGGAGATGCACCAACAGCTGCCAAACGAATCCCCCTGATTGCCATCATCATTGTGTTTGTCTGCGCTACTACTACTGAGACCCCAACCTATTGGCCGTGCGTGGTGGAAATGGATCAATCAGTAGTCCATGAAAGACGTTTGAAAACGTGACGAGTTCGTACGGACAGAAACGAGCCAGCTCGAAGGTAAACCGTCTCCGAATCCTATTGGTATGAAAAGCCGTTGGGCGAAGCAAGGCTGCTTCGTCGTCGAAATCCCCCCTGCAAAATGCTGTTGGATGGCTTGGTGCGCCCGGCGCAGTTGTAGACGGCAAAAATAAAAGAACCTCGCGGCGAGTTTGCCGGCAACGATAAAATACAGAAAACTGCCCGCGGGAGTGGTAACCAGCATCTGTGATGTTCCGGAGCGTGATAGCTCTGATGTGTTGACGCTGGTGGTGTGATAGCTTTGTGATGGCGTGATAGCCTAGAGTCGTGATCGCCTGGCAATGTGATAGCCGTTGGACAGGTAGCATGGACACGGGCGTGATAGCCCTGAGCGTAATAGCCGCTGGATAGTAAGGACACGGGCGTGGTAGCCCTATCGTGATGGCCGGAAGCCGTGATTGGAAAGAGACGACAGAACAAGGGCGACAAGTGGGTCCACAAAGCACCAAAACAAACTCCTTGTAGGCACACACGCCCTACACCCAGAATTCCATAATATGCGGTAAAGTTGGTACCGCCAAGCCCAATACATATCATCTGATGGGGCGGTTTCTCAAAAGGTTCGGAAATCCAGTTCAAAAATGTGCATTTCCGATTCCGGACAAAAAACTGTTTCTTATATTATAAGATCAGAATGGCACTTGTCCGGCTGCACATTTTCGATTTGACGTTTCCAACCGGTCATGCGTTTGGAAGTGATAACAATTTTCGATCGGATAGCGCGTTTGTTTTTTGCGTTTGGAAATGCGCACCACACGGGAGCAAAACCATCGATTGCGCAACAAGTACTGGTCGTAGCCAGCTCACCAAGGGCTCCGAGCAACCCTCGGAGCACTGTGCTGTCATCCCAGCCGTTTATATGTGGGTCCTGTGTGGCCAGGCGCGCTCAAAGCAAAATGTTGGCCAGCTGACACACCTACCGCTTGCCCAGACCCTCAAAGAAACGCAGCATCATCCCTACACACACATCGATGGACGATATGTTCATTTTCTCGCTCGCTAGATCACCCCTCCTGCTGAAATGTGCCAGGATGTGAGCTCCATCAACTGCTCTCTGTCCGAGGGGCTGTGTCATTGCTGTTGGTTCGGTCAATGGAGAGGGATAGCTACAGCGCCACCGGTGACACGGCAAGAAACCTGTACAGCAGTGAGCGGCATGGTGATGATGTCATTTTTCGAACAACACAGAAGTCAGTCGATCCTTGCCAACTTCGTTGCTCAGCCTCCCAGCGCGTCACGGTCTCTGGAAACCACATCACACAAGAAGCACCATACACACAGCTACGGGCGGATGGCCTTGTGGTTTCTGTTGGTTCGGCCAGTGAAGAGGGGTCGCTACGAAACCAAAGCTGTGATGGAGCAAAAATCTGTCAAAAGATGTTCGTTCGAGCGGGGGGTCTTTCTCGAACAGCAGTTGCCCCTCTCGCCAACTTCAATTCTCAACCACCCAGCGCCTCACGGTCTGTAGCAACCTTGAGGCACCATACGCACAGCTACCGTCGGATGACTTTGCTATTGCTGTTGTGTCACCCAGTGCACAGAGATCCCCGATAAACCAAACCGACCGGATGATGAGGTGGTACGGGGGTAGCAAATGGAAAAATACCAACGGCCGCATTCCTAGCCAGCAGTGAAAAGAAAAATGACTGCACTATAAGAAGCGTCTTGACCGACACGTTGTTCCTTTTTTTCGAATGGGAAGTTGCACATTTTTGAACTGGATTTCCGAACCTTACAAGAAACTGCCTGAACCCCCAAACTCTCCGCGCTCCATCTTCTGGGAAGGTTCTCTGCTTGCCGTAATCTGCCAATGCTGTGAGTACATCCAACAAAGAAAGTTCTCATATGCCAAGTGGTTGGCGATAGTTACGATAGTACTATGCACCAGGTTTCTGGCAACACCGACTTTATTTGAGCGCCTGCCGTATTGGCGCTTTTTGACTTGAATTTATAATAGGGTGAAATTTTATCTTGATTTCAAAGGAGGCGTGTGGAAGTAGACGCGTGAAATGTATGTTTTGAGCAGCCTCTACGGCCGCCCTGTTCGAGAATCAACGATTTCTGTTTTTCGCGATGCCTTCCGACTGGGCTTGTGTGTCTCTTGTGTGTTTTCTGGTGCTCTTGCGTTTGTTTTCAAATTTAATCAGCATCAAAATTCTCTGTCTGCCATCCCTTAAGGTGTCCGACTTGGCTTTGGAAAGAGCAAAAGTTGAATACGTAGATTGCGTAGAATGAGGGTTTTTCGTACAACTTTATTCGAAGAACTGTCCTCAGCCGGATTTTGCTGGGGATGAAGAATAAACATATTCCCACAAGGCTCCCCTTTGGGATTTCGGTGGCTTGTCTCCCGGGGGCGCCGCAAGAGGACGTGACCAAAGTTGTCACGGTTGTACCTTTGTGTCTTAAAGTTCGGTAGTGCCAGGCCCCGTACAACCTGTGGCGTATATCTCGCATCCCGTCATGTGCGAGGGGGAGTTTTTCTTTTCTCACCGTGACTTTTTCGGGAGTGCGTGGGCGTGTGTGTGCTTTTGGACTATAATAGCGGCGTCTTTGCCGCAGATCCTCTCTCTTATGTATTGTACCGCGTTGCTCATGGTGTGTGGGAACGTGTGTGTCTTGCGCAGCAGTCAAAGCGCTCCTGTTTGTGCGGACGAATGTACACTATTTGTTGCGTAATTCCTGCGAAGGCTTTGGTGGCGCGGAACGCGTCCCCAAGCATAGAGCCAGTCCCTGCGACTCTAGGCGTGGGCTGCACGCGCCACGGATGCCTGGCGGTCGTCGGGCGTGCGCGGCATTGCCCCTGAGAAGGAAGCGTGAGGAAAGATTCGCAGTCGCGAGAGAAAACTATGCCGAAGCACCAGAACACATCGAAATGATGAATGTGCGTTTGTCTTACACCTATTCGTAGGTTTGGCGCATTGATCGCTGGCGAATCCCTCCCGTTCACGCTGGTGGTGCGCGACCCCCTGGGTAACAGCTTCATCGGATCGTCCGAGCACGAGAACCCTGCCGACGACCCCCAGATGACGGTGAGCGACTGTTCTAACTAAATTTCGGGCGGGAGGGGCGCTCTAGCCTTTTGCGCTTCGGGTTTGTACCTTGAGTGCGGATGCCGAGGTAGAGTGGGGCGGGTGCTTTCGTTGAACGCTTGCGCGGGTGAGGGAATTTTGTCAATGTACGTATGCATACACTCGGTCGTCTGGTTTTGGGTTTCTCGGAGAGAGGGGTTGTGGTCGTTGCTTGCCTCCATTTTTTGTCATTTGCTCCTGTAGCCTGGCCGCCAGCAGCTTGCGTCAGCAGCACACGGGGGCTGGGATCTTAGCATATGGAGCCACTTGCTGCCATCCTCGACTTACTTTTTTCCAACCCGCCCGGGTGTAAACTTGTAAGGGAGGCACAGCAGTTTTTCGACCCAGCACTGAATGTTCACCACGATCGTAGCGAAATACAGGCCTCTGTCACTTTTGTGACCTGATATCAGGGTCCTCTTGACCCCCCCGGCCGGTTCTCTGTGGAGTACCGTAGGTTGCAAAAGACGTCACACCCCCTGGACTTGTTTTCAATTCCCGGTTTCTATGCAGCACAAAGGCTGACTGCTGTGCTGAAAATGGTGGTGGTGGGACCTTCACGTCGAGAGCATTCCAAGAACGTGCGATTTGATGTTGGAATCCTCGTCATTGTGGTGTAGTCGGGCTTTGAACTCCGATCCGGGGTGTGTGGTATCTTTATCTTACGCATCCTACGGTATTGGTGCGTTCAGAAGGTCGCTACACTATCGTTCCTCGCTTGTGTGGTGTGAACCGCGTGGGAGAGATCGGTCTCTGTGGTCTAGGTACGAGGAAGGAACCTCATGTGGATGTCACCCGAAAGATTTTGGAACAGCTCGATCGAGCAGTTTCACGAGACTCTTTTTCAGCGGTCTTCTTGTTCGCACCTTTTGTTGTATTTTCGAGTTGGGTCGATTGGGAGCAGCTGCGAGAGACGGTATGGTATGTCTCTGGTGCCATAAAGTTTGGTGATGGTGATGGGATGGTAACTGGGGGTGGGACAAAAGAAAACGGGTTTCCACCCCATTTCCTCATATTCTCATCCCATTTCAACGGGAAAACCATCCCAACACGAAAGCCCTGGTATGTTCCGTGTTGGACGAAACGATTTTTTTTTGTTTTTGAGTGGAACGTGTTCTGGCGTAGGCGTCTTTCGTCTTCAATTATTTCTGTTTTTTCAGCACACGGTTTGTTTCCAGTGGTTTGTCTTCCCTCGTACATGCTTCCAACCCATTTTTCGTTTAGAGTAGTATTATTACCTGCCCTGCTCATGATGCGGCAACTGCAAGCGCGCTGTCCCGAAACAACAAGCCGTTTTTTTTACACCATGGGTGTTGTTGCAGGACCAGGCACAGGTAGGTGCCCTGTGTTGAGTCATTTATGACCACTCACTCCCACTTGTGTTGTTTTGCTGTGGTTCATGTTGTTGGTGTTGAAGCATTAAAACCGTCCTGATCTTTACATCCAGTATACCTCGACAAACCCTCCAGTGGTCCTAGAGACACCGAGAACGAACCGCCGGGGCCTCCGGTTGCTGGGTAACCACAAAACAAACGGTATGAATGGAAAGAAAGACACCAAACATGGAATGTGGGAGAGAAGTCTTCCCCTACCAACAACCAGCCAACCGGGACAAAACCACCAGCCAAGGCCAAAAAGCCAACGCCACACACACACGACCAACGGCATCGAATCGACGCGGCAAAGTGCCGTTGTGAACGCTAAGCCCACAACACACCGCTAATCTGCGTGCCGTGTGCTTGCTGGTGGAAACGTTTCGTGTGGTGGTGGTGGTGGTGGTGGTGGTGGTGTAATTGTAACCCAAGGTGGAGTGGTTCGAGAGGACCTTCGAAGAAAATGAGGAGTTGGGGCTGAACGACATGAACACCGACGACTTCGAGACGCTCCCGGAGGGCTACGTCCGCCCCCCGGTCGCGCAGCCGGGGAGCTCAGGGGCACCGGGACAGGAGGGCGGGGGGGAGGGTGCGACACATCTCATCCCGCACCGGGTAGGAACCGACCATCCCACGGCCTTCACGAAGGGGCAGGAGGAGGCGGATGACACCGTTACCGACGGGGCATTTGCTTCCCCATGAAGCATTTTTTTTTTTCTCCAGGTTTCGGGATACAGTAGCTTTCTTTCGTGTTTGGCTGAAAAGGTCTTGACTCAGTGATGGACTCGTTGTGTACGATTTTCGGGGAGGTGAAGGAGGGTGAGGGGGTCAGGATAAATAACCCTTCCGGTTGTGAGGTGCCATGTTTTTTCTTTGTGTGTCCATGTTGTGGATGCGTTAGACCCTCCGCCGCGCGAAATCCACCAACAGACGGAGACTGAACGGAGCAGCAAGCACGTTGGGGTTGTCACTAACCTGGCAGGCGTTATTCGTTTGTTGTTACCAAGGCGTGGAGTTAACGCCATGGGGTGATAATGTTTCTTTCCGTTGTCGAGGAGGGCTGGTTCAGGCGAGAGATGTCGTGTGTCACCTTAAGGGATTTACACAACAAGATAGTCGTGTTCTTCTTTGTTGCCACTTCACACCAGAAAAATAAAGAAAGAAAGTATCCCCGCCCTTCGTTCTTGCTTGCAAGAAACTGCTGTAAGGGGGCGTACTCTTATGTTTTGCATACCTTAGCGGTTAGACCATTGACCACGCGTCCTCGAGAGGACGGAGCATTGTTCCCACAGGACCGATCACCGATGGCCAATCGTTCCTTCCTACTTTGCCAAAGGTGGCTCAAAATGTCTTCCCTAGGTTGTCTATATCCTAACGATATCCCTTCCCGCCTTTTCAAACCTCTTCCTACTCCCCAGTACAGCTGCCGTCCTCTCCTCTCTGTTCCATGCCTCAAACATCTACCTGTACGTCCCTTGTATTTTTCCCAGCTCAGTCATGTACACTTCCCTCTCCTTCTTGTACAGCCGACAACTGCTGTAAGGATGTAAATAAAATAAATATAAACTGGCTGAGTCCGACTGTTTTTTAGGGTCCCCCGCCCACCTATTACGACCTACCTGTCGGTATGATTCATGGTCTCCAATATTTTCAGCGTAGTTGTCTACTTACATGACATGCGCTACTACTGCTGCGTCCATGGGTGGGTGCAACAGAAGACTGGTGGCCTTCTGACCTGATCGCAGAGAGAGGTTCCTGCCACTACCACAATACGACTCTTCTTATGAAATGTCCATGACGGGGAACGCGTACTACGCCTCTGCTTTTTTCTTTTTTCCCTCTCTCCCGTCCGGTTCTTTCGTTTCGGAGAGGAACCTGCTGTGAAAAGCGCATCTTCTGGGGTCCGCATTCATTCATATAGTCCCGGATTCTTTCCCAGCGTGCGGAGAGCGCGTTCTGGTGTGGTCTCCTTTTCATTCGGGTGTGACGTGCGTACTACATGTATGTAAACGAAAGAAAACAGATCAACGAGATGATTAGCGGCATTCTTGAAAGCATGGAGTTCCTCGCCACAAAAAAGTGCATGCGCATGGATGGGTGTAGAGAAGTAAGTGTCGATCGAACACTGACTGGCGGTTTTTTCGGGTGCGCGTGAGGTCGCCTCTAATATTATTTTGTGTTTTTTTTTGGTGTATTGTCCCGTCTATGGTTACTACCTCGCAAGCGTATTGAAGCGACCGGAGGGTCCTCGACTAATCTGTCGTTGACTTGCGGACCCTTCTTCGGATCAGTTTTATTTTCGTATAACTGTTTTGGGTAAGTTAGCCCACGGCGGCGGGAATCGACCGCGTCAAGTGTCAGACTATCATACCTAGTAGTACGGACAAACGAAGAAGGTACTGGGTAGAGAGAACAGAACGAACGGTTTTGTAATTAATTGTGAAGACAACAACAACGGAACTGCTGGGTTCGTCCATGGATATTTTTTGCAGCACCTATACTATGAAGAGTATTAGTGTATAAAACAAATTCTTCATGGATGGGTATAATGAGAGGTTTCAATTCAACTACACGACCATAACTTACTGGAGTATGGAGGGTGCTCCTTGTTCTTATGCATGGCATGTACCGGCAGTAGGTGACATAAAATATCGCATCATCGATATTCACAGCTAATAATGTTAGTCCACAACGACGAGGATGTCAAACGATACGTACGTACGTTTGTTTCGGAAAGCTATCGGTGCCAACGCCGCCCGGCCACGCTTTCTGCTGTGGAGTAATCGAGCTTGAAAATTAAAAAATTGCTCAGGGGGTGTGATATCTTATGTAATCTACTCTACTCTGTGTACCGAACTCTTTGTCGTGCTCGGTGGGCGAGCGTGTCGCGGTGTTCGCCCTCGACTTTAATAACCGCTAAAAAACTGGAAAGCTTCAGACAGGCAACGCGACGATACTCGTCGAGTTGTTATCACAATAACAGACTAAAGAACTACAAGAAGAATGAGTAACAGGTCTGTAGACCTTCCTATGATGATATCACACAGCAAGAAAACGCACGGACACCCCCACCAGACCAGCCCCCGCTGGCGTGGCGATGGCAACTTCAGCAGCCGGCGGTGCAGCAGCAGCAGCAGCAGCAGCCTACTGCGAATCCTGGCCACTCAAACTAGCCCCCAGTCCCTCACAAGCCGCTACCGTGCCGGTATCGAGTATCTTTTCCCTCAACATCTCGGCGGCAGCGGCGGGCATCGCGGGGAGCCCGCGACCCGCGCCGAGATTGCAGGACCAGGACCGATACTTCTCCGGATCGGTCATCCACTCGTCGGGGGTCAGGTCCAAAGGGTCGATCGCACTCCAGTGGATACTGTCGTGCATGCGATACCTTGTTGTTCATTGTTGGTTGCGATTATTGTGAGGAGGAGGAAGAGACGGAGGAGGCGTTTCGCGTCAACGGGGTGGGCGAGGTTGATCGGTACGTGTATGTGTGTGTGTCTTTATTATTTACATCGACCGCGCTAACCGGCTGACCAATAAAAAGGCGCCAGTCTCAGTGCGGTTGAAAACACAAAACACTTCTAAATGCCTGCTATGAACTGGGACCCCGTGAGGGGGCGGCATGGGGGAGACTAACGTATTCTCCGGATCAAAGCCAGAAACGGTAGCAACAGAAGAAGAGTGCACACGTCTACGAAGGCTGCTACCTTGCACGCGAGTTCGTTTTGGAGTGCTTTCACCGTCATCCTCCTTCCTTCCAACTCCATCGTTCTCATGGTCGTTTTCACAGCAACTTCTCGACATTTCTTCTCTAGGCCTGCGTCGTTTGTGGTGGGGAAGGTCATCTGGCTCGAAACTCTTGCTCTCTTCCACGCCATTATTCCCTCCTCGACTGCTGCTTTGGTTTCTGTCTTGTCCTCCTCCCGTTCCCTCTCCTCCTCCTTCATCGCTGCCAAACGAACCCCCCTCATTGCCATCCTGGTCATTTCTATCTGCACTGCTACCGAGATCCCAACCTATTGGCCGTGGTGGGAACTGATCAAGACGTAGTCCATGACGTTTGAAAACATCACGAGTTCGTACGGATAGAAAACGAGCCAGCTCGAAGGTAATCCGTCTCCGAATCCTGTTGGTATGACAAGCCTTTAGGCGAAGCAAGGCTGTTTCGTCGTCGAAAATACCCTTGCAAAAGGCTTCATATGCCAAGTGGTTGTAGTGTGTATGTATGTCGATGTTGTAAGCATCGACCGTGTGAACCGGCTAACCGATGAAAACACGTCGTCAATCGTATTGTGGGATGAAAAACACGAACGAGCACATGCTTTCTTGTCGAAAGGGTTCTTCTGCCTCGTGTTCGTGCGCACGTTTTTTCGTTGGCGTCTGGTTTAGACGCAGTGGCACCCTGGGAAAAATCAAAACCACCTACTACCTACGCAGCAGTTGGTTTACCTGTCACAGCTATAGTCCGTTGGTGTCGGGGTTTTGGAGGGGGGGGTGACCAGGCATTGATTTTCTATTTTTTTATAAGCAACCAACCCCGGTTCGTCCGCCCCTCTACCCCTCTCTCCAAACTTGAAGCACGCCTATTTTTTACTCGCCGCGCGCGCAACCCTCACCACAAGAACGTTGCCATGAGATTGTACTGCATCTCCCGCCGGAACAGCTGTTGCTTTTCGGGGTCTTCGGCTTTTCTCCGCATCATCGACGGCCGGAAAAAGTCGCTCTTCCCGAAGGTGCACTCCCCCTGCTTCATTGCTTCCACCAGCTCCTGCGACCCCTCCGAGGCGGCTCTCAAGTGGTCCCGCAAGGCCGGGTAGAGGTCGACCGGGTACACGTGCGCGTCGTAGCCTGCGAAACCGTGCACGACATTCTCTCCCGCGGGCAGGTCTAGAAACGATCCGGCCCTATATCGCCAGCACGCGTTGCCGGGATGCGCTCTCGGTTGCCAAGTTTCTGGCGTGTGTGTGCCGCGCGTGGGTGATGCGGCACAGCAACAACAACAACAAGTGTTTGGCGAGGTTCTAATCAGAAAATTGAGGTTCGGCAGGTCAAAGCCTGCAGAGAAAACACGGCAGTTCCTTTTCTTTTTTTTGGGGGGGGAGGGGCTCATGTTTGGAAGAAGCGCGATATTGGCTACGGCAGAAAATCCGCTTCTTGACCTACAAGCAGAACTTGGAGAACGCACCACGGGACGCGGAACTTTATATCTTCGGGAGCATGTAGAAGCCGATCGTTATTCATTACGTACCGTTGTGTCTTTAACGTACCAACATAGCTAGCTACATTCAGCCGGACACACGGAGGCTCCAGCACGCCCAAATCCAGCACGGCAGCGTCTCCTTGAAAATGATGAACTACTGTGAGTAGGCTAGGGGGTGTCGGTGTGTTGCTGTAGTGGACGCCATTCGGCAAATGTATACTTCGAAGTACCATTTTATTGCTACTTTACATGCCGGGAATTAGCAAGAGCAGGCGATGCGACGCTACGCTAAATTGGTGTGAAAACTGTATATATGCGGCACGCTCGAGAGTGCTCTGAAAGTGCATGTATATGCTTTGGGTTCGTAGCCACACACAGCTAGCTGCAGTAGTAGCTTGTCCTTTGAATTTCTTCGCGAACTTTCGCCCCCCCCCCCCCCCCCTTTCAAAACCTCCCCCCCTTGAAAAATTTAAGGGCTCCTCCGGGAACCCGAAGTCTTTTCAAAAAACC